GTATATATATATATGTGTGTATATATATATATATATATATATACATATATTAATGTTTACATAGAAGATTGCATGCGTGACATATTATTGAAATTCATAGACTTAGAAACCAAATATTTCAAAACGGTATATAAACTATGAATTATTATAAACACTTGCAATTAAACACACTTGTTGAAAAATCAGCTTAGTCACATTCTCGAGCTTACGAATAAACTCAAACTGTAACGATTTGAACCATATTTCTTAATGAAAGGATCATAGCGTAAGCACAATTTAGTTTGTGACAACGTAATCGCAGAAATCGAAATAGAATATTCATAATGTTCCAAATAATTTAGATTAGGAGCTGTCAAACGGGGAGGGGGGGATGAAAGCAGCCCAGAATGTTTGTTTTTAGATGAACCGATCCGGTGCGACGACTAACACTAGGAAGTCGTGTCGTTTAGTAACCGGCGTCAACACGAATCTCACACGCATTGAATTCTACTTATGATCCGCAGTTACGACTGCTTAATTAGCCGTTAATTGCGGATTAAAAATAATGACACACACATACACACGTCCGATGGACGCCATAGCGTCGTTGTTCGCCGCTCGACGATCACGGTTCTCCGCAATGTCCGAAGATCAGCGAACAAGCCTTGTCACTTGGGTTAATACACGCATTGTTCCAACCTCGGCATTTGATTTCTTTTTATCTAAAATGCATGGTGAAATCACGAGGATTCACTGTGCCACCGAAACTTCACTTAAGCTCGCACGCGTCGCTCTCAAGCTTTCCGCGGCATTTTTTTTCACGCACTTTTTCTAACAAGTATATTCCACTCGGTGGAACGCCATCTTGACTGCGCTATGAAACACATCCGCTGAGTATTTGCGAGGGAACTACATCGTAACTTTATTTCGTATTTAGTTTTTTCCCCTCTTTTTTACTTTTGATTAAACCTTTTAAGAACAATTATTTATATTTAAAATGATTATCACCAAAAAAATATTTGTAATCACATAAAAACATTAATGTGATTAGCCTTGTATTTTTTTTATTATTATTTAGATTCTCGCGTTTATAAAAAATACTGTTACCTAGTAACCTTAGTAATAGTATATTCAAAATCGTAATAAATTATTTAAATTAGTCATTAATACTTATAAAAAATTATAGTAAAGTCTGCTTTATTTATATTGTCATTGTTTTACAATAACATAATAATTTGTATAATAAAAACACATAGTAAAAACATTACATGTTTTAGATTTTTATAAATATTTGTAGATCATAGAAATTACATACTAGTTTTGTTATTTTTAAAATAAACACTTGTATACTTACTTAATAAGTACAAGATATAGATATACATAAATATGGTTATACAAATATCATATAATGAAAATTAGTACGGTGTGATACTTAATACAGTACAATTGGATATATATAAAATTCTATTACTCTGAAGTAAAAAAAAATAGCAAATTTACATAATTAAATGTCTCTTCATTAATATATAAAGTATATAGTATAAATTTGTTTATGCATTGCACACTAATTGATATTCATTTATGCTATAGAATGTTGATGATTTGATAAAAGAAACTAATAAATAAATCTATAAGCTTAGTCTAATACATTAATAATAAATTTCAGTTTGCATTCTCACAAGCATCAATCCAATCATTATACACATCTAAAGGTTCTGAAAGTAAATTGATTGTGGTTTGAAAGTCTTCTAGACAGACTCTGCAAGTAATCCTAGCTGTATTTCTTGACTTATCCCTGTAAATAGAAAGACAAAGCAGTAAAATTGAAATATAAGTAGTATAAAAATCGGCGGCAAATTTGTTATACGCACATCTTAACCTCACACGATTTTTCGTGATTACAAAATGGACAATTAAATTGCGTATCTAATGGTTGAATAGCTTTTTTTTTACTTGGAGGTTTTCGTTTACTTTTTCTTCGGCCCATTACGTTTGAAGTGTATAAAAGTACACTGGTTTTTTTTACTAAAAATCTTTACATTCACATACACCACCTTATACCAAATTTTGGTACTATTTATGTGTAAACTGTTGCGTGTGATTAATGTAGGGAGCAGTTTACAACGTAGTATAACACCATACAATTCACAAGAAATTACTAGGTTGGTATATGCATATGCGCAAAATATATTCTATAGATTTGAATAAATATCAAATATCAAATTTTAGAATTATAATGTTTTATGTTGTAAAAAGTAACTAAATTACTGAATTATATTATGCAATCAATCATAAAGTTAATAACTAAATGATTAAATGTGTTTAATTACTTAAATGCATTATTAAAAGGCATGCCAATGATATGAATTAATAAGAACTTGTAGTCTTAATGATACTATAGCGAATATTTTTATATCAATAAATTAAAAGATAATTATTATTTATGATATTTATATCATTTTAATATCATGAGTACTTTTAGTGTGTATCCTTGGAAATAAATAATTTCATATTATTACATAGAATTTGTGAAACAAATGTATAATGTGAAAATAACCTTAATTTTTGTACAGAAATTTGTCAATACCTTTTCCATCATCAAGGGAAGCAGAAATTGTTTATCAAGTATTAAGAGTTGATAAAGAACCTTCAAGAGGTAGTATTACAAAAAATTTGACATTAGACAACAATTTATTAAAAGTGTAAGTTATTGTATATTTATTATAATAGCATGTACTTAATTTATTTCACTAATTTATATTATGTTTTATAGAGTAATTTCTGGAACTGAAGTACGAAAAATTAGAGTGGCATTGACATCATTTTTTGATAGTTTGATTTTAGTAATAGAAACTATGCAACTTTTTGGTCCACCTGTGCCAAGTTATGATTATTATTAAGTAAATATTATTTTTTCATTATTTTTAAAATTAATTCCATATAAAATGGAACATACTCCAGCTCCATATGGACCAAGATCTGTTTATGGATACGCTTTATACATAGGTTCAAATATAATCTTTCTTTTATATTTGATATGGGCTGTAGTACCAGATCAAATTTTACATAGTCTTGGATTAACATATTGGCCTTCTAAGTACTGGGCTGTAGCAATTCCAATTTGGGCTTTAACTGCTCTTGCTACATTTGCATTTATTATTTACCCAGCTATAAACTTATCTATGACTCCAGATATTAGTGATATTGTAACTATAACAGATAAACATTCATGTCCTAAAAAAGAAACAATTCCAGGTGGTATACCTCCTGTATATGATATTCCAATAACAGAAATTTGTAGAAAGTTGTATTTATCAAAAAAAAAGTAAATGATGTTAAAAATTAATACATTTTACTTAAAACTATTAAAACATTAAATTTGTAAATTTACCATGAGGTATTACAATAAACCATGAATAAATACTTATAATAAACCATGAATATTAGTAATTTATAAATATATTTTAATAGTTTTAAAAAAAAAATATTAATCTTTATTGTAATATTTTTTTTTAAATCTAAATACTGTGTTGCAATATCATGTTAATTATGTATTTCATATATTGCAATATATAATTTGATAACAAAAGTTTTATATAATCTCGAGCATAAGAAGAAATATGTAGTTGATTGCAACTTTTTCAGTTAAATATTGTAGAAAATGATCAGGAAATATACACTAAAAAATAAAATATATAACCAATATATTGATAGTTATGAATGCAATAGTAATGCAAATTATTTTCAATCTACGGATAATGGACGCGAAATTATTAATTTAAAACAAAAATTAAAAAATGCAATCGACAGAAATACTATATTTTGTAGCTTTGAGCTTATTCGTACAAAAAATTATAATGTTTATAAACGGTATGTACAGTATATACTTAATAATGCTTAATATACTTATATTAATAATGTTTAATTACACTTATATAAGTAACAATTTTTGTTATAAGCATTTTTATAGAAATGAATAAATATCATCCACTCTTTTATTCTTTAACATGGCATATGTCAAAGAAAGTGGAAGATTATTTGTCTTTAGATATATTTAATACACTTCCAAGTAATACACTTGTACATCTTGTAGCTAATGCTTTAACTGTTACTGAAGTCCAAATTATATTAAAGAAAGCATTGGATTGTGGCATATATAATATTTTTGTTTTAAGGGGTGGTAATTATATACTCGTGTGAAATACTTTATACTTAAAATTCTTTGTACATAACAAAAATTTGTGTATTTGAATTTTATGATAAGATATAAATTTTAGATTCAACAAAATTAAATGCTGAATTTCCTCATGCAATTGATTTAATTCGTTTTATAAAAAATCAGTTTGGCGACATATTTTGTATATGTGTTGCTGGTTATCCAGAAATGCATCCAGAATCACCATCTAAAGAAATGGATTTGATTTATTTGAAAGAAAAAGTAATTATTTCATTTAGCCTTATTACTTATTTATGCATTTGATAATTTTATTTAATGTTCATATTAATTTTATTTTAAGGTTGATGCAGGTGCAGATTTTATAATAACACAAATTGTTTTTGAAGCAAATATATTCATTAAATTTGTGAATGACTGTAGAGAAATTGGAATCAATGTTCCAATCATTCCAGGTATTTTTCCAATAGTAAATTACACATGTATGAAAAACATACTTAACATGTGTAATGTTAAAATACCTCGAATTATTTTAAATACTTTAAAAGAAATTAAAAATGATGATGAAAAAGTGCGTAGATATGGAATAGAATTATCTATAAATATTATAAAAGACATTATTTTAAGCAAAACTACTTGTGGATTTCATTTTTTCACATTAAATAAGTAATTATGAATTTTCATAGAAAGAATATAATGTAAAATTATTTATTTATTTATATTTACTTATACATCTGTGAATTGCAGACTATCATCGTTATTGGAAATATGTAATAAACTTGATATTTTTCGCTGATTATCTGAAAGTGGGGAAGACATATATCACAAAGATGAAAAATTGCAATTATAGAAAATTATACATTTAAGCATGACAGTTTTAATAAACATATTATAATACAATTAAATGTAGTGATATTAGGCGCCAAGTTTAACCTGAATTACCAATTGTTAAAATTCCCTAGGTGGAACAATGGCAAAGAATTAAAATATTTAATTCGTACAAAATTCATAAAGTCTTTATTAAAATTTAATATTCATTTTGCATGTTTTTTATAGTAAGGTTATTAAACATTACCTTTTAATTTCTTTTCAAGGAACTTACTAAAAAAAGTCACAAAATTGATCTCGAGATTTCTTACGAACGTAACGTGGCAGATTTGTAGATATACACGATCCTTTGAGGATACTTGCTATTTTGCGCACGCGCTATAGAAATATTCATGACGAACGAACAGAGCTAGTCGAGTTGGGCGCCAGAGCTCCGCGTGGTCAGTTGGATAGTTGGTGTGACGGTAACAAGAAAGAGGAAGGATCCATAAGCCAAGATATAAAGAACAATGGCACTCTTCCGTTTCACTCCCAAACGTTGTTTGGAAGTTCAGGTGCGTGGTAAAGTATTTTATGTAAAATTGATTGGTCTTGGTATGCAATATGATATTTGAATGATTCCTAAACCACTGCACGTTGTTCCGGTGCGAAATTCGAACGGCAATCAAGTGTTTAACGTATATTATTATCTTTTTGTAATAATAGTGGGTTATTTTAAATAGATTATGATATAAAAATGTATATCTTTTTATTATTCATCTCTTTTGAAACGCTAGAGTTTCGCACACCGTCAAGAGTCAAGATGCTACGGTTCTGGATATCCAGTAGGCGTTCGTTGTATCGACCAATAGCCTAGTAACATACACGATCAGAACTGTCGGTATACAAATTCTCAAATTCATAAAATATTGTCTACATTAATAATATTTGGGTGAAATATTAGATCGTGTTTGTTGATTGAATAGGTAAAATGCTAACTATGAAAGGTTTGAAGTTAAAGGTTTTTCAACTTATCGAACGTATGCTTAATAACACCTCTGCGAAGCTCCAACAATGCACATTATTTTGAAGGAATACCTCTAATATGGGAACATCTTAGAGAATCGAGTAGTTGCATTCAACGGTAATATAAAATCTTATGAATATCATAAAACGAATATATATGCCGTTTAAGTTTCTAAAAATTTATCTATCGAATTACATATTGAATGGGGAAGGGGAAAGGGTTTACCTGATCGACAGAACTTGGCATTAATTTAGATAAGCTTGATATAGTAGTTACGTAATAAATTTATAGAAAGCACACAATTATTATTTATTGACTACCGCAAATTATAAACGTTATTAAATCATATACGTTAAAAAAAGGACATTAACTGTTTTCCATTTTTAACGTTTATTCGTGAAATTACTAAATTGATATATGAAATACTTCATACGAATGTACATTTGCGGTGTAAATCAGTTTTGTGGTGGATTATAGTTGAAATATTTATGAAATGCATGAATAAATTCTTCGCATAAATTGACGTATCTTTTTAGTTTTAATCGATCAGTACACGGAATTTCCAGTGATTGTATATCAGATAAACAGATGGAATACGAAATATTAATTTCGATCATCGATATAAAAATTGAAAGGTTAGTTTATCAAAGACCAAAGCTGTCAATCAATTTCCATTGTAACAATATATTGTTACTGTACATATATATTGCTGCATTTACATAGCCAAACTTGAAATGAATTCCTGTTAAATTATCATGTGTACGTATGTCCTTATATTTGTAAATCAAAACACCAGACAACGTGTATGGGGAAATATTTGAGAATTCCTTATGCCAACACACATATTCATTGAGGAGTGCACAGTATTATAATTTCGTAAGGTATGATAATTTTAGATTGAATTCGAGGTCAGAATCTGTTTCGTCCTCTCGATCCACATTAGTCATTTCTTCGTGACCTGTTCTTGACAAACACCTGCTTACCGATCGAATTTTCAGCTACTCGTGCCGCTTTCATCCGCTGTATCGCTGTATTCGAAATAATTCTTTGTCGTTTAGCCATCTATAGCTAACATATACATCCGGTTTTAACCCTTTCTATTCTTATCATGATCGCTTGGAATCTCTGAATGTCAAATAACTATATAGAACTATATATATATTAATATAGTTTTATGAAGGGAAATACGAAATTTTACGAGACATATTAAAATTAATGCGATTAATCCAAATAAAAGTATTAATACGAACGTTATTAATGTTGTTTAATGTCGAACTAAATCATAAGTTCGACTGAACCAGTCAATTAAACTCGAGCGAATAGTTTAATACAAAGTCTACGTATATCTACTGTAACTTTTGGCAGATTTAGAAATTGTTCTCTTAACTTACAGATGGCTCGCTGATTACCTAATATCATAGATATATGAACGTAACCTTCGGATCGCATAACATGCTACTTTAGAACTGTCTCTTTTTTCTCCCTCTTTTACAAGTGAAATCATCTATTATTAACGTGCACAATAATTCAACACGTCGATATCCTAATATAGTCAGATTTTCAAATCGACCTTCCGACTGTACAAATATAAAATAATTTATTTTCGTTATGAATAGCGATTAAAAATTAAAGGAGAAAAGCAGAAGGAAGAATGAATTTCGCATAAATTATAGAACTCTCGCGATTTGATTAAACGAAGTTACAAATTATTCATACGTGGAAAAAAATGTTGCAGAGTATATTAAGAAAATTGAGTGGCGTTGTTATTTAATAATTTCGGATTCGAGCGAAGTTGAAGACAAACGTCGAGCTGTCGGCAAGACGATTGAATTTCAGGGTTAATAAAGATTGGATCATGCGTGACACCCTCTTCTCGGTCATTTTAGCGCCATTTGACGATTATATGGCGCGAAATCAATTAGATAATTGTAGTTTGCGGGTGTGTTCTATCTAGTAGTGCCCTTCACATGCTTGTTAGTTATGCAATCAAAGATAACGACCGCTATGGAGTCTTTTACATAATGTTACGCATAATTAATTAAACAAATTATTATTATGTTTCGATTTGGTCGAGATTACTTTTATGCTTACACGTTCTTGCAAATTCTGATAAGAGATATCAAGATTATATTTTTAAGCAGCAAATTCCACTCGTTTCACTTTCCCGTTTATCTTTGAAAAATAAATGCAATTAAAAGTATTCGGAAAATTTTTATTCGATAGAAATTCAGATATAATGACGACAATGATATTCTAGAATCATTTATTTCATCGATCATTCAGAGGTAATTAATTATAGATATTTATGATTTAATATTATATCTAGACGAATATCAAATCTGTATAAAGACACAGCTTTTGGACCTTGAATTATTTTCACCGTTTTCTGTTCTAACTCGAAATACTTTTTCGCAAAGATTCACTTCGACATAGATAAATTTGATTAGCTTGTATATCCCATATTTAACGCCAATTTGTTCGACATTGGTATGCAACGTATCTTCTCTTATTTAGTTTGTATTTCCAGAATTTTACAGAAAATTTACAATATCGTCTCAATAACCCAGCTTATCTCTGAATCTGATAAGCGGTAGCTAAACACGAAGTTTATTCGAAACGTCGCAAGATTATCGCGTTATTTCTGTATCATAAAACGCGTGCAAAAATTCGCTGGAATCGTAAGATCTATATTAAATTTCATTTCGTAACAGCTTATCTGTTCTGTCCAATTTTGATGGCTAATTCATATCTACATATACATCTTATAATCAAGGTCATTGGAGGATCGAGTGTATGAAGAGAATTGAAATTCTTCGGTGAACACGACGGGCACTTGCACGGGTAATGAGGATCAGTACAGCAAAGGAGAACTTATTCTCGACGAGGATACAACGATGTCAACCTACATTCGATCGAGAAAGGAAATAAGGCCAAAGATCTTCATTTCGCTGAAATGTGCATCCGCACGAAAATTTTCTCGTATTTCAGTTTCGAACGAGTTATTTACGCATATCAATTTTCCTTGTCTTTTTCTTAAGGACAGAAGATCCCACGTACGATTTCCACGAAACTATTAAGCGGAAAATTGATTTCGTACGACCCGTTATTGCGGCCTCAAGGAAAAACCTAGAAGGAGGATGAGTCGCATGATTTCCTTTATGGAGTTGTTCAAGACCGCTGCGAGTGACCGAATGTTAAAATGGAAATGACACGAATATTTAAAATCTCACGATCCGGTTGAGTCGCCTGATTAAATTATATCGGCCAAGTAATTAATTTCATTCGCGTCTAATATGAGCCAAGATAAAGATGCAGCAACGCTCCTCTGTCGAAATATCAATAAGAGACAAAGTCGCGATCGCGATAACGTAGTGAGTAATGCGAGTGACCTAATGCATACGAATAATGCGGCACCGTTAACGCGTGTACCCAAAGTTCGACGATAAACCTGTTCCACGGTCGCAGAATGCGTTAATCTTCGTTGTTACCCGTGCGAATTTTTCATGATACACTTGTTCTTCTGTCTATTGCGAAAATATAGATCCAGATCTATAGACTTTCTAGAGTTTCCAGACTTTCTCGGACCTCGAGCGTTTTCCTCTTCTTTTTCCTCCAGCGACAACGAACTTTCGATTGTAATCGTGAACCGACTGAATCGTGATCAGCGGCATGCATAATCGCGAGCTTAATAGCGAATTAATGAAGTTACACAATCGTTATCTTTCTTCTATTAATCGACTGTTTAAGTAGATTCGTACGTGCCAAATTGTATAATACCGATCTCGAGCGATCGAGATAGTTCGATGCCTCGTGTCACACGTATCGACGAATGGATTTTCTCATAGAAATCGTTCAAGTCGTGCACGTCATCGGCACGTCCATAAATCATTGGAAACTAGGAAGAACTTAAACGGCCACTGGTGCAAGTAATGTCACTCCGAGTCACATGCCGCAAACGAATAGCGCACGATGTATGACGTCAAATCTGCGAATACATTGCGGAACACGTGGGGCGATAATCTCTGTTCGTCGTGACAGAACCAGCACACCGATCCGAAATTTAATTGGGCACTCGGTATCCTTTCTTTCTTTTTCGCGCTTTCAATTATATTTGAAGATCACGCGAGGAAACCGCTATGAATCATGTCCATTTAAACCCTTTGCACTCGAGAGGCGCCCTTCAGTCGCCATTTGATAAAATTTCGAAGTTCGATATTAATTGACATATCAAATTTAAAATAATGCTAACAGTGTGTGCGAGGTATCGAAATTAAATAATTCTACGTGTTAATTATTGTAGGATTTCTTATTTACTGCTCACAAAATGTCATCAGCTTAATAGCACAAAATTTTTCAACTCGTACCCTTCTTTAACCAAATCAATCGTCGAGTGCAAAGGGTTAATACGCTGCCTTAGGATCAGATCATTCTATCATTCTTATGAACATTTTAAGAATATGGATTATCGCGAAGCGAAAGAACGTGAATTCTCGAATTCTTCTTTTTGAAAGGTTTAGATGTTTAAGCCTAATGGGTAGTTTTATTTTT